GTGACTCTGAACTTTGTTTTCAGAGTAATACTTCATTATGAATTTCAAATAATATCACAAATCTCCACAAACTTAATAAGCTTGGAACAATACACATTTACTCTTTTATAGTTTCTTCAGAGTTTCTTCTACGGAGCAAAGGTTTCTTCCACAGAGCAAAGGTTTCTTCCAAAGGTAGAGTTTCTTCCACGGGTCACAGTTTCTTCCATGGGGATAGAATCAAGGTGTCAGCAGGGCTGTTGGGCTCCTTTCTGGAAGCTCTAAGGAAGAATCAGTTTCCTTATCTCTTCTAGCTTCTAAAGGCTGTTGCCTACATTCCTTGATCCTGGCTCTCATACTCAAAGCCAGCAATGTCCAGGTATCTCTCTCACACACTGTGTTACTCTACTCCAACTCTAATCTCCTTTTGAGCCACACAGGAGGGTCTCTGTTAATATACTGTGCTCAATCAGATAACCAAGGATAATTCTCTCTATTGGAAGGTCTGCTGATTAGGAAACAGAATTCCATCTACAATCTTAATCACCTTTGCCATTTGAAGTAAGTATTTAAAGCAGAATATTGAAGAAGTCAGGTGCCATGCCTAGTAACCTATTCCCAGGTTCCAGGAATGAGGGGTGAAGGCAGGAGGGAGGCCATGCACATCTCTCAAGGACCATGATTCTTCTGCCTATAAGTACCTATCTCTCAAAATTAGAAATGCTTGTATCTCTTGTAATCTCAGTCTCTAAGGCTTGCCTGGCATATAAATGTTCCTCAAAAACATTTTGGACAGGGAAGTGAAGTAGTGCCTACTCATTCCAGACACCTTGTGGTGAGAACTGTCCTTCTCCCCCTGCCAACTTGTATGCCCAAGAGCAGCCTAGTTTTATCTCTTCTTACTGTTGAGCCAAATGAGCCAATCAAAACTAGAGCCAGGGATTTTTACTATGGAATTATGGAACTTTGTCCCTCACTGGTGGTATTGAGAAAAACAAAATACATCTAATGAAAACTGCAGAGAACCCATTTACATGCCATGTAAAGCAAGTCTATTTCCAGAAAGAAGCAAAGAAACAGACATAAGATTGATGATGTCCTTAGATTCATTGCTTCCAGGTGACTCCAAAGTCTAGCTGCATATCTGCCTTTCTCCCAATCTGATTTCTCGACCTTTGCAGTAAGTTTGGATATCTCACAACCCTTCTAATAAATTTCGATTTTTCCCTCAATGCCAGATTGAGGCTAGGTTATTTTCTATCAGCTGGATACAGTCCAACACCCCTTGACTAATGCAGAAATGCCGGAAAAGTGTGTAAGACTTCCTGAAAAGATGGGAGATACTCAAGGATGAAAATCATACTATAAATTATATCTTGAATTAGATCCAGTGCTGTCTATAAGAGAAGTGAATTCAATTCTTGTGTGTGAAAACACTAGCAAAACTATTTGACTTTCTAGTTTCTTTCCCTGTTGTTCATCTGCCACCCTTTCATCGTAAGTAGCTTGTCCACCCCACAAATTGCCATGGTCAGCAGCTCTGGATAACATAAAAACATTTATGGTTCCAGTCCAAAGGCTTCTGCCAGTAATCCCAGAATTTGGCAGGCCAAGGTGAGAGAGCACTTGAGCCCAAGACCAGCCAGAGCAACATAGCGACACCCTATTTCTACAAAATAATAAAATGATATATATTAGCCAGGTGTGGCGGAGTGTATCTGTAGTCCCAGCTACTCAGAAAGCTGAGATGGAAGAATTCTCTGAGCCCAGGAAGTCAAGACTGCAGTGAGCTATGATTGCACTATTGCACTTCAGCCTGGGTGACAGAATGAGACCCTGTCTCTAAAAAAAAAATAAATAATAAATAAAAGAGCTTTTATGGTATGGCACTGACAGAAACAGCACATGGTAAAGCAGAGCTTCTGTTACCATGCCACACTTAACACCTAAGTAGTAGTAACAGCAACGATTGGCATGTAGCTGCTTAACATAGATTTGTGTGTTCTAATGTTCCACTCATCAGATCCTAACAGATGAATCCCTTCTATAGCCCAAATATTCTTCAGGACACAGTTCAACAATTTACAGCTTCCATCCAGATTTCCTCAAAACAAAACTTGTCCCTGAACTGTCACAGAACTTTCTTCGTTCCTTCACTAGGATGCTATGGCTTATTATCTACCTCTATGTTTACTAACTATCCAAATTTCTGCAGGTCAATGTCCATGTCATGTCTGTTTACATTTCATCACAAAGCTCCAAGTTTCACTGAATAGGTCCTAAATCAATAATCGTGGCATGTTTACTTAAGTAATAGAATTCAAAGTCTCAGGTTTCATCCTGGGGAAAAAGACGACACAGACACCTTGCATTCAATCGTCTGCTCTTTTTAAAATATCTTCCTTTTTCAATTGTATTGCTAGAAAAAAAAAGAATTTAAGGTCTCTAGAAATTATAATGGCATTTGCTGTTATCCTACAATGGAAGAGACAATGATAGTGACTTTCTTTTCTGTTTTTCTTTTTTTGAGACAGTGTCTCACTATGCAACGAAGACTAGAGTGCAGTGGTATAATCTTGAGTCACTGAAACCTCCTTCTGCCTCTCAGGTTCAAGCAATTCCCCTGCCTCAGCCTCCTGAGTAGCTCAGATTACAGGCATGAACCACCACACCCAGCTAATTTTGTGTACTTTTGTCAAAGAAGAGGTTTCAGCATATTGGCCAGGCTAGTCAGAAACTCCTGACCTCAAGTGATCCACCCACCTCGGCCTCCTAAACATTAGAGGTATTAGCCACCTCGCTTGGGCAATAATGACTTTCATTTATATTTTTCTTTATATTTCCCAGTGTTTTTAGTCCCATGATGAAGAATGGAAGGGCTCCTTGCACCTGAAATCTTTCAAGAATAAGACCTTAAGATGTATGTCCAGGGATACAGAGAAATAGTACAGGTGTAGGTCACTCAGGAAGTAGTTCCTTGGCTCTGTCCATTCCTCAAGGCAACCTGGACTTGCTTATGGCTTTTTCTCCTCCAAGTTTTATATTTAATACAACATCTTGTCTGAGCAAGTACTTCTAAATGTGTCTTTTTATTTTTCCCTTACTTTTTAACCTCACTTCTAACAATACCAAAGGTTCTCATTAAAATCCTGAAGTGTTTCCATAGATTGCCTTTCTGTGTTCAGTCTCCTTGGTGATCAAGAGAAATCTCAAATTGTAGTGCCATCCGCTCATGTATGAACTGACATAAACTTAGTATGTGAGACTGGAACTTCTCAGCTTGACTTTCATAACTTATGTTTAATCAAGCTACCAAGCCATATTCTGCATTGCTTCCTCAAAAGACCCCCATCTTTTTCTCTGGTTCTTTCTCTCTGTCTCTCTGACACATGTAGACACAAACACACACTTTCTCTCTCTCAAACACACACACACACACACACACACACAGAGCATGCAGATTTGGTCTCCAACTGTTCCTTGTCAACAACGTCCCATGTGTCCCACTAGAGCTTCTGACTGGCTGGACTGATTTTGATCTTATTTGAGCACCTATCAAAAGGTTAAATATGTAATTTAAGTTAATTAATTAACCTGTCATCTAGACAGCAAAGAGAAATTTATAATCTATAAAATTTAAATAAAGAAATTGGTAAGGTATCGCTAATTACAAATATAGAAATTTGTAATTAGTTATGAAGACTCAAGACTAAACTTAGTAGATCATGATGACAATTTCAATGAAAAGACTCACCTTCAGCAAGACCTGATTTATTTTAAAGGGAATTGTAAAAAATACTGCTTTCTAAAGAAAAATAATTTATGTTTCATAAAACTATTGTACTACAAAGAAATTGCCAAAACTTTTTCTCATTCAAGTTATTTCTTAAATTTAAAGATAAATACTTACCTGAAATAAAGTCCCATTTTTGCATTTTTAAATATATCTACACATTTTATGAAAGCAGAAATGTAGAAATTTTAGCAGTTCTGATCAAGGCAGAAAGACAAAGCTAAGCAAAAAAAGTAGAGATTCTGAGTGGTCAGAGCAGAATTCTGAATTCCAAATAATAATATTACTATCTATCCTGCTAAATAAAAGCACTGATACGAATTGAGATACTGCCTAAGAGAAAGTCTTTGGAGAGAATCAGCATGATGCCAACATTTCAATATGTTGTTGTGAATGCAGAGTTCATTCACTTAGTGAATGACCCATAATTAAACTTCAGTTGACTATTCTTCCTAGGAAATCTGAATTTGAAAACTATATACACATAAAGCTGTTCATGTTTTATTAGCATTGGGTTAACATATTAAATGTTATTGTGTTTACAGACTTTCATTGGTGTTTTATAGAAAAAAGAGGAAATTTTTAAAAACACAAACACATTAGTCTCTAATGTAGCTAGAATCATCTGACTATATTTTATCATTTGATTGTAGTGGGTACTGGAAAAAAACAAAGTGCAAATTTACATTAAGAAAATGGATTCTAAACAATGAAATACAACCATTGTATGAACTACCTCTTGCTTATATATTTAAAAAAATAAAGTTTTTCTTTGAAAACTCAAGGTGCTAATATCTCAAGTCATTATGGCATAAAGAACTATTTTCTCTATCTTTCAGTTTGTAAACTAGAACATGAGAGTGTCCTTAATTCTATTATTTTTCTACAGATTCATTCCTTTACAGATGATTCAGGTATAACATGCAACAATATATGCTCATATTAATTTCCATCTGCAAATAAAACTATAAAACATTAATTAGGCAATATATGAAAATAATTAAAGTCGCTATCGATAGTTTTGTCCATCCAGTAGATGGTCCAATATATACAAGTGGAACACAGGGTAAGCTGCTGCAAGAACCGCATTTGGAATATGAAAAATAAATTAAAATAAAATAAACAGGTTATAGAAAAGATCATGCACGAGACACTATAAAACCCTCCTGGCAAATGTCTCTACACCCTGTGCAAGAGGCATTGTTTTCTGTTCCAATGAGGTACTCACCATCTTCCGTGGGCACGTAAATGTTTAAGTAAAGGCAGTCTTCATTTTGATCTTGAACATAGGTCATCAAAGTATCCAAATTGAGGGTAAACCAGATGGGCAGCATGTCATGCAATAAGAATCTCTCATCCAGGTGCTGAGGGCACACAGCAGCAAACTGAGTAGCATTTCGGATGCCAGTCCAGGAGGATGGGGATTCTGGGGGCTGAAACCGCCTCTCCCCAGTGGGGGGTGAGGCATAGGGGACCCCTAAGTACTGCTCCACTGGACCCAAGATCTCACTGGGTAACGGTGTTTTCAGGCCCCTGATTTTGCCATAATTTGTGTTGACAACTGGATACTGTGCTTGGCTGTCAATGAGGGTGAACTTGATGGCAAGAGCAGTTATCCAAAAGATGACATTGGAGTTTAACATGACACAGACGGAGGTGAAAAACAAAGGGAGCCATAGCAGTCCCCGGGGCCGCGACATGGTTCAAATCCACATCCACATCCGAAGCTGTATCAGTGAGGTGGCTCCAAGGAGACAAAGTTCAGAGGCGAGCCTGCAAAGAGACAAGGTTTTCAAAAACTCCAATGCAACCTAAAGGAGTAAGAAAGCAGACAAGAATAATGAAGCCACACAATGACCACCTAGAACACTGCCTGGCTCTTCCATGAAACCCTCAACATCTCTCTATGAAATTCCTATTCATTTGTATAGGAATGTGTATAGTGCCATCTCCATATAGTCAGAAATAGCAAAAACATCACTTGTCTTTATTTTTTAATTTTTTTTGGAGATGGTGTCTTGCTATATTGCCAAAGCTGCAGGGCAGTGATGCTGTCACAGCTCACTGCAGCCTCCAACTCCTGGGCTAAAGCCATCCTCCCACCTCAGCCTCCTGAGTAGCTGGGACTACAAGCATGCACCAGTATGTCCAGGAGATTAATTGGATTTTTTGCAGACATAGGTGTCCCTATGTTATCCAGGCTGGCCTAAAGAGATCCTCATCAATCAAACTTTCAAAGTGTTGGGATTATAGGCGTGAGTCACCATGCCTAGTGTCTATCACTTTTCTTAATTCAGGCTGTACATCCTATCACCAGGAACAATGCCTGACATTTGGAAAATACTCAGCACGTCTGTGTTGAATGAACAAACAGATGTTCAAGAATTATACAGGTTATGCAGGTGATAATAAGGACATCTACCAATTTCACTATTGTTTACCAGATTGGTTATCAAACTTGGGTACTCCCAAAATAACTTTTTATCAAATGTTTAAGGCAACTTTCACTTTTTCGTAAGAGGATATGCCTGCAGATCTAAAAGTTTTCAAGTAGGAGTAAAACAGAAGCATCTATTCAGGCCAATTCATCATCATGATGTGGAGATTTATCATGCCACTAGGGGAAAATCACCAAATAAATGAGTACAGTCTTTGGACACGAATTTTCCTTGTTCTAGTCAAGTTCATATATATATATATTTATGCTACATATTTCACTGTTTTGAATCTCAGTTTCTTGGAAAAAAGAACTGTACAAGATGGTGCATTTCAAGTACATGCTGCAGTGCTGGTTTCTTGAAGACTTCTATCACAATTGAAAGTGTTGATGCAATTATCCTGACTTTCCAGTAAGCCACTGCATGCCTGAGAGGGTATCGTCATCACCCTGTAGCCCATTTAAAAAAGCTGAGGCTACATTTAAGTTACTTTCTCACTGAGCCTGGAGTCAACTTTTAAAGGTTCACCACTTCAATTTGTCTCTACATGAATAATATGACTATCGCTAGAGAAATCGCTGCTCCTGTGACAATAAAAGAATGCTGTCCAGCAATGGACAGTATGTTAAATGATCTTCTAGGGACAGAAAACATTTCACTAGGTGTCACAAGAAGGGTGCATTTAGAGTGTTCGTCATCTCAAAGTATGCAAATGTGTTTCCGAGGAATTTGTGGGTTATTCAGAGCATTTACATCGGAAATAGTTATCCATTTCATTTAAGTAATCAGTTGAACAGAATACATCACATGGCTTGTTTTATAATGAAACATATTGGAACTGGATCTATCACAGAATAATAATACCTTGGGGGGAAATTCCATAGTACATGACATCCTGGGAAAAGTTCACCAGAGTTGGATGAAAATGCACTGAAAATCTGGATTGTAACTTTGAAAGTGACAAGTAGCATCTCACCACATGACTGATTCAAGTGTTTGCTTCTATCTCTGAATTCTACTGTAGACAACATTTGGATGTCTGCCATACAGCAATCCCATTTCTGAATAATTAAGAGACAGACAAGAAAAACAAAAAGGTGATGTCGTGTTTGTTTGCTTCTTTCCTGAAAGATTTTTAACTAGAGGTAGCTGTTACTTTCAGAACCTTCCCCATGAGAATAGGTGAGATCATCAATTTTTTTTAAACTTTTATTTTGGCTTCAGGGGTAGCTGTGCAAGTTTGCCATACAGGTAAACTTTTGTCACAGGGGTTAGTTGTACTGATTATTTCATCACCCAGGTACCAGGCCTAGTACCCAATAAATATTTTTCCTAATCCTCTACCTCCTCCCACTGCCCACCCTCCAATATGCTCCTTTTTCTATTGTTTCCTTCTTTGTGTTCATGAGTTCTCATCTTTAGCTCCCACTTAAAAGTGAGAATATGCAGTATTTGGTTTACTGTTTCTGCATTAGTTTGCTAAGGATAATAGCTTCCAGTTCCATCCATGTTCCTGCAAAGGACATAATCTCATTATTTTTTATCACTATTTATGGATATTACATATATCCATGGTATATATAAACCACATTTTCTTTATCCAGTCTGCCATTGATGGGCATTTAGGTTGATTCCATGTCTTTGCTATTGTGAGCAGTGAGGTCATTAACTTGTAATTCAGATAAACCTGTATCCTGGGATGCTATCTGTGTGAACCAAGGGAAGCAAGCCAACCTCTGCAGACTGCTTAAAAAGGTAAAATAGTGTGTCCCACCTGCTTCATGAAATTGTGCAGAGCAGGAAGGGAGCACATATAGGCAAAGGCTGAAGAGCACAGAAGATACCGTCAATGTAGACAACATGCTGCCACGTTCAACACAGACCTGCCAGAAAGACTTCTGGGTGCAGGGACACAAGTTGCTATTAGCTTATTGTTAGTATCAAAAAGGATGGCTGCAGGTCATTGAAATTCTTTAGGCCTCACCTTACCAATCTACTCTTTGACATTTTACATACTATCTAATTTAATCCCACATAGTTATAAATAACTTGGTATTACACACTATCCCAGGTTGGGATTAAATGAGATAGTATGTAACCTCAAAGTATTGCACAGTCACTGAAACAGATAGCTCAAGTGGAATTCAGTGGAAAGTTGTGTTCCCAGGTTTATAAAGTCAGTTTCATAAGGAATTCTAGCCCATGCCTTAAATTCTCAAACTCTATGTGAGTGAGACTATGAGTCACATATTTGTTATACCTGACCCAGTTGTATGGTCAAATCCCTCCCCTGTCTAAATCTATAACCCACAAGGTCCTGATGGGTAGTAAATGATTATAAACTAGCAGCACACAAAGAAGATAGACCCAAGGGCACCTGTACAGTTCCTAAATCTAAGTTAGGCATTCACAATATTCCTAGGTTGAGAGCTATCTTTTTTTATTCCCTCATTTTTTGAAATTTAGCAAATTTGCAAAAAAATGCTATAATCTGAAGTCCAGCATTACAGCATATCAGCACAAATGACAATATGAACCACATGATTCTTTGTTGTGGAGATGCTGCCTCTACATTGTATGGTATTTTGCAGCATCCCCAGTTTCTACTCACTAGATGATGGTGGCCCCTGCACCTCCTACCCAGTTTTAACTACGGAAAATGTCTTCGGACAGTGATAAATGACCCCTGGTGGTCAAAACCACCCACAAGTGAGCATTACTGGTCTAAGCCATCAAGCATAAAATGATAGTGACCGTGCAAGTGATTAAGTATCTGTAGGTACATTTAGAGAATATAATTAGTGCTGCCAGGTATGTGTGTGTGTGTATGTATATGAGTGTGTGTGAAAATATACTAAGATGGAAGATTAGAGAGGATCTGGTGGTATGACCAAATACGAACAGCTCTGTTCTGCAGTCTCCAGTGAGGAAATCAGAAAGCAGGTGATTTCTGCATTTCCAACTGAGGTACTCAGTTCATCTCATTGGAACCGGTTAGATAGTGGATGCATCCCACGGAGGGTGAGAAGAAGCAGAATGGGGCACTGACTCACCCTGGAAGTGCAAGAGGTCAGGTACCTCCCTCCCCAGCAAAGGGAAACCATGAGGGACTGTGATATGCAGCCCTGATACTACACTTTTCCCACGGTTTTTGCAACCCACAGACCAGGAAATTCCCTCAGTGCCTATACCACCAAGGCCCTTGGTTTCAAGCACAAAACTGGTAAGCCATTTGGGCCAACACCAAGCTAGCTGCAGCAGATTTTCTTCATAACCCAGTGAGACAGAACCATTCACTCCTCTGGAATGAGGGCTGAAGCCAGGGAGCCAAGTGGTCTTGTTCAGCAGTTTCCACCCTGATGGTACACAGCAAGCTAAGATCCAATGACCTGAAATTATTGCTGGCAGCACACTACTCTGAAGTTCATCTGAGACACTCAAGCTTGGTTGAGGGAGGGTCATTTGCCATTACTGAGGCTCCAGGAGGAGGTTTTTCCCTTACAAATTAGAAAAGGCAGTCTGGAATTGCGGTAGAACCCACCACAGTGCAGCAAAGCATCTGTGGCCAGACTGCCTCTCTAGATTCCTCCTCACTGGGCAGGGTATGTCTGAAAGAAAAGCAGCAGCACCAGTCAGGGACTTATAGATAAAACACCCAGCTCCCTGAAACAGAGCACCTAGGGAAAACCGCAGCTTCAGATATAGCTTCAGCAGAATTAAACTGCTCTGAGGAGAGCAGTGGATCTCCAGGCACAGCGCATGAGCTATGCTAAGGAAGAGACTGCCTCCTCAGTTGGTTCCCTGACCCCCTTGCCTACTGACTGGGAGACACCTCCCAGGAGGGGTCAACATTTTATACAGGAGAGCTCCAGCTGGCATCTGGCATGTGGCCCAATGAAATGAAGCTTCTAGAGGAAGAAGTAGGCAGAAATCTTTGCTGCTCTGCAGCCTCTGCTAGTGATATTCAGGCAAACAGTGTCTGGAGAGGATCTGCAGCAGACCAGCAGAAGATGAGCCTGACTGTTAAAAGGAAACTAACAAACAGAAAGGAATAACATCAATGTCAACAAAAAGGATGCCCACACAAAGCCTCCAGTCAAACGTTATCAGTATCAACAATCAAAGGTAGATAAATTCATGAAGATGAGGAAAAACTAATGCCAAAATGCTAAAACAAACAAACAAACAAAAAAAAACAAAAAAAACCCAGAATGCTTCTTCTCCTCCAAAGGATCACAACTCCTCACTAGCACTGGCCCAAAACTGGATGGAGAAAGTTTGATGAATTGACAGAAGTGGGCTTCAGAAGGTGGGTAATAAAAACTCCTCTGAGCT